GTTTCATTCACCAGGGCTCTAGGCGACTCGAACCCTGGACCTCACGTGTGTGAGGGCGAAGCTCTATCGACTGAGCTATGAGAATTCAGTCGATAATTACCCAAGTTACCTTATTAAGCAGCCCCTCCTCCAAACAAAGACCCAAAAGTGATTCCATGCACCCGCCAAACCCCTGTTTATGAATGAAAAACGGTTAACACACGACTAACAACTTAATTCGTTCGAACACTTCCGGAACAAGGGCTTCACTGACGAATTTTGTTCGAATCACAACGCTATAAATGCTTCACCCACGTACTACAAATACAAATAATCGCCAACAGAACCTAAACACCTAACCTAACTTATGTCTATATATATGCACAATATTTTAATATATTATATTAATTTATATTTGGGAAAATTCCCGTTTTGAATGAACAGCATGTTAACATTGATGAATTCGTCTGTGGGGTCGACCGCTGGATGTAATGGACATGAGTCAAGGACGGGTTGTATTAAGCAGCCCGTCCTCCAAACAAAGATCTAAAAGTGATTCCATGCACCCGTCAAACCCCCTGTTTATGAATGAAAAGCGGTTTACACACGACTCACAACTGCTGACGTTCGAACATATCCGGAACAAGTACTTCACTGACGAATTTTGTTCGAACCACAACGCTGTAAATGCTTCACCCACGTATTACAAATACAAATAATCGCCAACAGAACCTAAACACCTGACCTAACCTATACCTATGCCTATTTATACACAATATGCTAATATATTATAATATTAATTTATACTTGAGAAAATTCCCGTTTTGAATGATCAGCATGTTAAAATTTATGACTGCGTCTGTGGGGTCGACCGCTGGTTGTAATGGACTTGAGTCGAGGACTTGTTCTATTAAGACTGCTCATAGCTCAGTCGATAGAGCTTCTTCCTCACACACGTGGGGTCCGCGGTTCGAGTCTCCTAGAGCCCAGGTGAATATAATGTGTTTTAACGGTTGTGTGGATTACAGTTTATACTGCACCACAATATTAATGTATCATATGTTATGATCGCTGTCTAAATTCGTGTCTTTCCTTCATCAAGAGTCATTTGTTCCTACCTTTATGAGATACTAGACGACCCAAAGAATGTTTTGAGTTATGAGGGAAAGAGTGAGAGATATATTTTTAGTGTAAATTTTGCAGAGGACAAGTTCCCGCCTCATGCGGTGACACTGGTCTAGAGGGTATACAACGAGAGACATGAGTGGGTGGAGCTGCAGGGTTGCAGCCAATGAGTGGGAGACTTGCAGAGACGTCACCAGCCAGCCCAATACAGAGAGAAGAGTAGCGAGCGGGGTCACTGACCCCGAGTACTTGACCAGGTGCGGACGTACGCGTCAGTGCTCCAAACGTTTACCATTAATTCAGTTATGTGGCATATTGAGCTTACCAGAAAGAGCATGAGTTCTACCCAAATGAGAGGACCAGCTGACAAGGTGGACAAGCACAAAGTGACTGTGTGGAACGACTGTTGGTAGTAAGACTGAGCAGGGCGCCCACGGTTAAAATAGAAGAATGGTTACGACAATCTCTGATTTTGGGTGTAATGCGAAAAGTGAAAATTACGGGTCAAGTGTCCCGGGGCGGTACCGACTTAGCAAGCTAGTTGGTAAGTCGATCCAGAGAAGTTGGTGCACAAGAGAGCCATGATGAGGTTAGTGACACGACAAGTGCAGTGACAAATAACCCTTTGGCCTAGAGGCGAGGCTAGTGATTACTGCGTGTGTTTTACCTGCCGAACCGAGAGGACATTAATCTACAGTGACACTACAGTGATTGTTAAGGTAACCCATGCATGCTTAGATGTGTTGAATTCTCTGTACTGTTCTAGTTTTACCAGGCGTTAGATGAAACGTTACTTGACGTCGAAGTCAGAATAGGATCTACGGCATTAGAGGGTTGGGAACCTAGCCTCATAAATAGCTGGAAAGTTATCGTTGCCGAAGTTGATGTTTCATGAGTGGATTTCCTTGTCACTGGGGGTAGAGGCGTCCACCCTCGGTAATTATGGAATTGTAGTGTGACTCGGCCACCAGTACACACACCCCAGAACACCTCTCCCTCTACTTCAAAATCTTCCGAGGAGAATGTGTGTGGGGAGCGGGGTTCTCGGGGCGTGTCTGAGGTGCCCGTGTTCCTGGTCATGTGCGGGCTCTGATTACCAGGGCAGAGAAGTATGTGTGGAATTACGGGCTCACCATAGCCCGTGCTAGATGGACATTTCGTTCTGAGTAGCTAAATCTAAAACAACAACATGTGGAAGAGAAGTCTTCTTTCCCTTTCACCCCATAACACATAGTATTACTGTAGCATAGTATTACTGTACCATAGTATTACTGTACCATAGTATTACTGTATCCTAGTATTACTGTATCCTAGTATTACTGTATCCTAGTATTACTGTATCCTAGTATTACTGTATCCTAGTATTACTGTACCCTAGTATTACTGTACCCTAGTATTAATGCACCATAGTATTGTTGTACCCTAATAGTACGGTACAACGGTACCTCTATGTTGGTATATCGTAACATCAATGTCGAAAAAAAACACTGCTCTCTCACTCACACATATTCATAAATAATTTCCTTATTATTTCATCCTTACCCCAAAACTCATGACCAGCAAGAAACAGGTCAAATAACGAATGCGATACATTACGTAATGAACATAATGTACCGATCCACGGGACTGTGGTTATTCACTGATCAAATCACTGAAATTTTTGTTAAGCAAAGTTCTAATCAACTAAATATTGTTAAGTATCTCCGAAGCTCTTTATAGAGCGGAGATGGTCATCAGAGGGTTCCCCAGACGACGTGAAAACTTTTTTTTTTTTTTATTAAGATATGAGGTACATCTGCATTAGTGCAGCTACCCTAGACTATATGAAGTGGAGTACAGTGTGTCAAAAAAGCTAACTAGGTGATGCTAAAAAATCCCCATCACACAGGATGGTTAGTCATACAGAGGCATGTGATAAGCAGTCTGCACTGGCAGACTCCGGATGCATTTTGAGGATATCATCAGCACAAGCTTGAATAAGGTAGCAGTGGTAATACAAGTCCCCATCTCGCAGGATGGTTAGTCATACAGGGCCATATGTTTAGTAGCCTGCACTGGCAAATTTTGGGTACACTGTGAGGATATCTTGAAGAATACGAGAGTGAATAAAGTAATTGCAAAGCTCCAGGTACCTCATGCCAACTGGTCTGAAAGGTCTAATAACTGGGCATTCAGTGATGTAGTGCGGGAGATCGACGTGAAAACACCTTACAAGGAACTGCAAGAATCTGAGGAAAACGAACCTCTCCTTTCGTTTAATACATCACAATTGTTATGCTATCGACTTCTGGTGAGACCAAACCACCGTATATTGTACGGTGGACGTGTTGGGGGGACACAGTACCCACCATGCACTCTGGCTCTGTCATCCAGGAATGTTCTGCCTCTGATGCTGAGAGAGAGTAATCACACTAACGTCATACATCAATCAGAAAATCCTGGTCCGGCTTCAGTGGAAGCCTCAGGAAATCCTTGTGTGTTCAGTAGAACTCCAGGTTGCATTTCTTATACCATGTTGTGGTGTAGTCGTTTAGAGCGTGTGCACACGGACCACATAGGTTCGAACCCTCATCACGGCTCCTACGGATTTTCTCATTGTTGCAGTCACGTTAGTGTGATTGCTCTCTGTGTAACAATAATAAGAATAACAACAAAAATAATAATAATAATAATAATAATAATAATATTATTATTATTAATCCACCTCCATACTCCTCATCTGGGTTCTGATAATTACCTGTCGAGTCACAGAAAAACTCTCGGTTTTCTGATACTACCAACACAAGAAGGAGCCCCAGATGAGTGGTCGTTGTGTGCTGGTACAAACCAAACATTTCTTCAGCTCTAATGACTGGAAAACTTTTCTCGGGGAGGAGTCCTTATATAACTTAGATAAAATATATCTTTTTGAACAATTAGTCTACTCCAATATAAATCTACACAAACTATCTCACTCCTCAACTTTTTCTTAATACTGTCTTGAGGTGTATAAGGACCAAAATCGACGCTGGAATTCCACTTACGATGTACTTAACAAATCCACAAGGGCCGTGATGAGGCTTCGAACCTACGTCCGAGAGGATCCCAGACGCGCCTTAATCTAGTTAGTTAAGTTAGTACTTAACAAACAAACAAACGGTCACACATTGGGACGTTATGTAAAGAGTTGATGAATAGATGAAACTGTTGAACGTTTTGGGCCCGATGAGAGTATTTTATGGTGTGTACTCACCTTCTTGTGCTTTCAGAGGTTGAGCTCCGGCTCTTGGGTCCCACCTGGTATATGTGTATCTACGTCATGCTTATCTCGCGCGCGGTAGTGCACCCCATGCTGTGGGCAGTAGTATATCCCATGCCCATCCTGTGAGTTGTGGTGCACCCCCATGCCCATCCTCTGAGCAGGATTTACAAATAGGTTTATAATTACTATGTAGGGGAGAAGTAATTGTTCTTCTACGCAAAAACATCGGTAGGGCAGTAGCTAAAGTACAGGGCTGGATTACGTAATCCTTGTTTCATGAAGGTGAAAATAAATAATCGAAGACATTACAGTTACAACAGAAATACATAAGTTCTTGGTGGCAGAACTGTGTACTTATAAATTCCAAAAGGAGTCATTTAGATAAAGTTACTGAGGCCTTTTTCATGTTTCCGAAAACTCGTACAAATGTTGACCAAACCACACACTAGAAAGTGAAGGGACGACGACGTTTTGGTCCGTCCTGGACCTTTCTCAAGTCGATTGTGCATGTGATTGAACCATTCACACAATCGACTTAAGAATGGTCCTGGACGGACCGAAACGTCGTCGTTCCTTCACTTTTTAGTGTGTGGTTTGGTCAACATATTTCAGCCACGTTATTGTGACTCCTCGTCCTCATTCAAATATTTATGTAATGTTTCAATTAAAATTACAAGTTTTGAATTCAAGTATTTCTTATACCTCTCCGTGTATTGACCCTCCACCCGTAGCTCTGACCTCTCCATGTATTGACCCTCCACCTGTAGCACTGACCTCTCCATGTATTGACCCTCCACCTGTAGCACTGACCTCTCCATGTATTGACCCTCTACCTGTAGCTCTGACCTCTCCATGTATTGACCCTCCACCCGTAGCATTGACCTCTCCATGTATTGACCCTCTACCTGTAGCTCTGACCTCTCCATGTATTGACCCTCCACCCGTAGCATTGACCTCTCCATGTATTGACCCTCTACCTATAGCATTGACCTCTCCATGTATTGACCCTCTACCTGTAGCTCTGACCTCTCCATGTATTGACCCTCCACCTGTAGCTCTGACCTCTCCATGTATTGACCCTCCACCTGTAGCTCTGACCTCTCCATGTATTGACCCTCCACCCGTAGCTCTGACCTCTCCATGTATTGTCCCTCCACCCGTAGCTCTGACCTCTCCATGTATTGACCCTCCACCCGTAGCACTGACCTCTCCATGTATTGACCCTCCACCTGTAGCTCTGACCTCTCCATGTATTGACCCTCCACCCGTAGCAATGACCTCTCCATGTATTGACCCTCCACCCGTAGCACTGACCTCTCCATGTATTGACCCTCTACCTGTAGCTCTGACCTCTCCATGTATTGAGCCTCCACCTGTAGCACTGACCTCTCCATGTATTGACCCTCCACCTGTAGCTCTGACCTCTCCATGTATTGACCCTCCACCTGTAGCTCTGACCTCTCCATGTATTGACCCTCCACCCGTAGCACTGACCTCTCCATGTATTGACCCTCCACCTGTAGCTCTGACCTCTCCATGTATTGACCCTCCACCCGTAGCACTGACCTCTCCATGTATTGACCCTCCACCTGTAGCTCTGACCTCTCCATGTATTGACCCTCCACCTGTAGCACTGACCTCTCCATGTATTGACCCTCCACTCGTAGCACTGACCTCTCCATGTATTGACCCTCCACCCGTAGCACTGACCTCTCCATGTATTGACCCTCCACCCGTAGCACTGACCTCTCCATGTATTGACCCTCCACCCGTAGCACTGACCTCTCCATGTATTGACCCTCCACCCGTAGCACTGACCTCTCCATGTATTGACCCTCCACCCGTAGCACTGACCTCTCCATGTATTGACCCTCCACCCGTAGCACTGACCTCTCCATGTATTGACCCTCTACCCGTAGCACTGACCTCTCCATGTATTGACCCTCCAACCGTAGCACTGACCTCTCCATGTATTGACCCTCCACCCGTAGCTCTGACCTCTCCATGTATTGACCCTCCACCCGTAGCTCTGACCTCTCCATGTATTGACCCTCCACCCGTAACTCTGACCTCTCCATGTATTGACCCTCCACCCGTAACTCTGACCTCTCCATGTATTGACCCTCCAACCGTAGCTCTGACCTCTCCATGTATTGACCCTCCAACCATAGCTCTGACCTCTCCATGTATTGACCCTCTACCCGTAGCACTGACCTCTCCATGTATTGACCCTCCAACCGTAGCTCTGACCTCTCCATGTATTGACCCTCCAACCGTAGCTCTGACCTCTCCATGTATTGACCCTCCAACCGTAGCTCTGACCTCTCCATGTATTGACCCTCCACCCGTAACTCTGACCTCTCCATGTATTGACCCTCCACCCGTAACTCTGACCTCTCCATGTATTGACCCTCCACCCGTAGCTCTGACCTCTCCATGTATTGACCCTCCACCCGTAGCACTGACCTCTCCATGTATTGACCGACCCGTGGCACTGACCTTCCTGTAAGTTGCCAGACAATTCCTACCTCTAAACTCCCCCTTTATTTGAAGTTCACGTCTTAATTAGATAATTAAACCACCCCATCATCCTTGCCGTGTTGACTTCACTAACACAGCTCGAGCCCTCAGCACACACATTAAAATATTCGTAACATAATATGCTTCAAAATATATCTTGCTCGCCACCCTGCTTTGGCTCATTCTGTTTCTTGATTCTCTTCCAATTCTCTCTTGGGGGGAATATGCTTCAACGTGGGGTGATTGGACCATTGTCATCTGTGTGACCGAGCTAGCAGACTGCCTCTCTCAGCAGCCAACTGTGGGAAAATTCTCCCACCTAATTACGAACGTTATTGTATATTAAACTTAAATTACATAATAGCTATGAAGATTCCTCTTCTATAAAGCTCAAATAGTTAATTACAATGTAATATATATATATATATATATCAAGTAATTATGAGTACTTCCTCTGTTTATAGTATTCTGATATAATAATAGACTGATTAACATTAATCCCTGTGACGTCACTACATTCCACGTCAACAATGAGTGACGTATCGTACATAACTTTCAAAATACTAAAGAAAAAATTAATATAATCCTAGAAGGATTTAACCCAAAAATTCCCTATTTCCCGAATTAAAGCAAATATTCCCGGTAATATGAATACACCTCGGGAAGGATACGCCATATTACAGCCGGTGAGGAGGAATTTGTGCGGCTGTGTGGTGGTGGTGTTTTAGATTCAGCTTTTGGAACAAAAGTTCCAAAGTAGCACAGGCTATGGTGAGCCCGTAGTAGACTTGTCTGACACAGGAGCGGGGTGACTGTGGCAGGAACTACATGGTGCTTCCACAACCTGTCCCGTTGACTCCTCAGATGTTTGTAGTTGTTTCCAGTTTCATAAGTTGCGTAATAAGTAGATTTTGGCTACAAGGCTAGGGTAGCCATTACACACGAGGCTATCTTGAGGTTATCTTGAGATGATTTCGGGGCTTTAGTGTCCCCGCGGCCCGGTCCTCGACCAGGCCTTCACCCCCAGGAGTCCGTGACAGCTAACACCCAGGTACCTATTTTACTGCTAGGTAACAGGGGCATAGGGTGAAAGAAACTCTGCCCATTGTTTCTCGCCGGCGCCCGGGATCGACCCCGGGACCACAGGATCACAAGTCCAGCGTGCTGTCCGTTCGGCCGACCGGCTCCCATGGCTCATTACACAAGGCTAAGGTAGCTATGCAGACGATGAGTCACAATAACGTGGCTGAAGTATATTGACCAGGCCACACATTAGAAGGTGAAAGGACGACGACGTTTCGGTTCGTCCTGGACCAATCTCAAGTCGATTGTGATCAAGACAATCAAGTTGATCAAGACAATCGACTTGAGGATGGTCCAGAACGGACCGAAATTTCGTCATCCCTTCATGTGTGGTCTAGTCAATAGGGTAGCTATCACACACGAGGCTTGCTAGTTGATTATGCCACATGTCACAACAATCTCCCTAGAAAAGGAGATTGAGCCTATTCCATCATCATCACCTGTTCAACCATGTAATGTCTGCTTGTTCAAGAATAGAGAATTAACAAGCAAGAACGACAACAACTATACGTCTAGACAAGATTCCACCACTCTACACCCCCCCCCCCCCAGCACACCTGGCGTCTCCAGAATCGCGCCCCTGGCTGATGAACAAGCACGTTGATAGTTCGCACCTGCCAGCTTCCAATTATCGATACAACAGCGCCACCTGGATGGTCACTTTCCTGTATATATAGAAGCCAGTCAGCCACCACCAGCCAGAATATTCTGTGCTCAAACCTGCTCGACCTACTCTCACACTACCCGGTGTGGTGGTAGATTTACACAGCCTAGTACTCAGTATTTTCAGCACCATTTATTTCTTCTTCTCTAACGTAACGTTAACTTGTCTGTTTGATTGTTTTTATTTTGCACACTGTAATATAGCCAAGTCTTGGAGGAACTATTTTTATTTTTGTAATTTCGTCAGTTATTTTTTTTCTTTCCATAGTACAGTATTTAAATTTTTCCATTCTTTGTACTTTATCCTGCAGTTATCACACAGTGAAGAAATCAACCTAGCAGTTTTATTTTAATTTGCATTTACTTTTTTGTTTATTTGTGCTTTGCATTACATTGCATATTTGTTCCATTGCATTCCTAAGCCACTGCTTTTAGTCATTTTACCGTCACACACATGAAACACAGGCCCATTGTTCTATTAAACAGCCAAGCTGTGATAGTTTTAACCTAACCAATGGATAGCACGGATAGCACTTAACAGATCTTTAACCCCTGTCCAGGGAGGACAGAAGAAAATGTATATATGCTGATTAGCATTGTAAATGTGTGGCCACGTCTGTGGTAGAAAAAAAAATTGACATACAGATCACTACAAGGCTACCATCAGCTCCTGACATACATACCCCCATTCAATGGTCACGAAAGTCGCCCTGGTCTCATAATATGACGTAAGATACTAGGTCGTATGAACGAAAACAAATAAATTTCAACACTGAAATACGTATATTCTACCAGAGTTATAAACAGTGCACTGTATAATGTCAGCCTTCAAATTGTAGACGGTTTACGTATAGCAAGTCCCGAGGCGGTAGGCCTCTGACGTCACAAACCATAGAGCCGGTGGGTGGTGCTCGAATGGGAGCCAGAATTGAGCCAGGACCAGGCAGGGTTGGACCTCTGTACGATAGACCTATTGTGTTACCTCCCTTAATAAAGTCCTGTGAAGCAATCTAGTGCACTCCATGCCCATCCTGTGAGCAGTAGTGCACCCCATGCCCATCCTGTGAGCAGTAGTGCACCCCATGCCCATCCTGTGAGCCGTTAGTGCACCTTATTTTTTTTTATTAATACCTGAGGTACATCTGCATTAGTGCAGCTACCCTAGACTATATGAAGTGGAGTACAGTGTCAAAAAAAGCTAACTACATGATGCTAAAAAATCCCCATCACACAGGATGGTTAGTCATACAGAGGCATGTGATAGGCAGTCTGCACTGGCAGACTCTGGATGCATTTTGAGGATATCATCAACACAAGAGTGAGTAAGGTAGCAGTGGTAATACAAGTCCCCATCTCGCAGGATGGTTAGTCATACAGAGCCATATGTTTAATAGCCTGCACTGGCAAATTTTGGGTACACTGTGAGGATATCTTCAAGAATATGAGAGTGAAAAAAGTAATTGCAAAGCTCCAGGTACCTCATGCCAACTGGTCTGAAAGGTCTAATAACTGGGCATTCGGTGATGTAGTGTGAGAGATCGTGCCGCAGTTCCTGCTCACAGAGTTTGCAACTGGAGTGCTCAGGATTGGGAGATCCGTCACCTGCAGCCACCTGCCACAGGTAACGGTAACCCAACCTGATCCTTGCAACCACTGTGTCGCACAGTCTGGTGGACGTTTTGTGCTGCCCATAGATATAGGTTTCAGATCTGAACAAATCTTAGCTTTTTATACTAGTACTTTCAGGTCGTTGGGAGTCGGTAATTTCTTTCATATCAGACCTGAGTGTTTGGACCAATACAATTTTGACAGCAGAGATGGGGCATACCTAGATCTAATTCAACTTCATCTTTGTTGCACGCTAATTTAGCTGCAATGTCTGTCTCATTATGATGGGTTATATTTATGTGTGAAGGTATCCATACAAAGGAGATTCGAGACCCTTTACTCTGTGCAGCAATTAGGTCATTTATAATTGATAGAATGAGGTTCTTGCTGTCGATCTTCCAGGAGAAGTTTTAGATTGCTTAAGGGCCCCCCTCCCCGTTCAGCTCGTTGATGCCGTGAGGGGGGCTTAGTGGGTGGCTGCCGGAGTGTGATGCTCCTTGGGACAGTCCTCTGTCCTTTTGTAGCCTTGTGCTCCTGCTGCTGTCCTCTCAAATTTGTGCTGAACAACTTTTCATTTTCCTTCTGTTTCGTTTTTCTTTCCCCTCTTCTCCTATCTGCTTGTCGTTTCCTGCCGACCTTTTGCTAGTTTTGGTTATTCCTTTGGACTTCTTCTGTTTTTACGCTCGGGTGCTTGAGGAGGCATACTCTTGCACCCGTTGAACTGTAGTACCCGACGTCTCGAGCGAGGGGAACCTTTTATTGTCAATCCCCCTTTCGTCACTGAATCCGATCTCGACGAACTGACGGTTCTTAAGGTGGCGTTTGTGGGGCATATACTCACGACGCACCCCCTAGGAAGCCCCAGCATGATCGGCGATAGCTTCTTGTTGGGTGTCCTGCCTCTAATTGTGGCTCCATGGTGGGTGTGGGGGCACATTCGTGAATGAATGTTTCTTTTTCGTACCTATGTTGTGTTCTGTTCCTCCTTTACCTTCTCAGGCTCGTGGGGTGGCCGACCAAGCCCCCGAGTCGGTTCATGTTGGAAGACCAGGCTCTGTAGCCTCCGCTACATTGGGCCCCGACCTTGCTCCTCCTTTGGCCTCTCTGACTACTCCCCTCGGCTCCCCTCCCTCCTCTGTGGTTGGGTCGAGCCCTAAGCCCCCAGTGGTGACTACCTCGTCCCCTGGCATGGCTCAATCTCTAGTTGTAACTACTGTGCCTTTTAACCCCTCTCTCTCTCTGGGGGTTCTCAACGCCGTCCTCGACTTGGCCGCACTCGCTCAATTCCTTCCCGTACTGATGCCTATCAAGCCTTGTTTGGTCCCGCTTCGTGGGCCAAATACTTTGATCTCCTCCCTCTGCGCCTCCTGACGATTTCTCCCTCCATCGACATCTTGTAGATTCCGTGGATGCCTCTGTTACCTTCAACCCCACTCGTCTCAGTACACATGTCGTTGCTGCTCCTTCTCAGGATGCAGCTTCCCGCTTCGCTGCCTTATCCTGCCTTCTCCTTCAAAGAACGCTCAGTTGAATGCCAGTGTTGGCACTATTCTCCTCTCGCCCCATGTTGCGACTGGTGTTCGGAATCTGCAGGGCTGCCACGATGATATTCGGCATATCCTCGATGCCCAGGGC